AAAAACGGACACATAAGTGCCAGTGGTGATACTACCCCACACACAGTAGTGACTCTCCCCCCATCCCAAGAAATAAAGTTGAACCCATCCTTTGATTCCCACGTTGCAGCAAAATGGTAATAACACCCCAAAAAAAGGGGGGAAACCTAATTAGCGATTCGTCGATGGGAGTCCCCAACGGGAGAGACCCGTCCCCCCAAAATTGTTTCTTTTTTCACTCTTTTTCTCCTTCCCGCTTCGTCCTCTCGACTCCGTGGCGGCCCGACACACACACGAACAATCCCTCCTCTTAGTTTAAAAACGAGCCGCTGGAACAAATCGACAAGGAGCTGTACGACATTTTGGCAGACGAAGAGAAGAGACAAAGACAGACCATAAACTTGATAGCCTCTGAGGTGGGTCTTCTGCGGACGCGGAAGGGGTGACGGCCCGTATAGACGCGCTGTGTCGTTCGGCGGAAATGAAAATTTCGCACCAGATTTCTACCACTTCTCCGCTCTTCCCTCCCCGCAGAACCTGATGAACGTGGCCGTGCGCGAGTGCCTGGGGAATCGAGTGAGCAACAAGTACTCGGAGGGTTACCCCAAGAAGAGGTACTACGGAGGGAACGACTACATCGACAAAATCGAGGAGCTCTGCCAGAAGAGGGCGCTGGAAGCCTTCAATGTAAGCGACGAAGAATGGGGAGTCAACGTGCAACCGCTTTCCGGATCGGCGGCCAATGTCCAAGCCCTCTACGCTCTGGTAGGCGTAAAGGGAAAAATAATGGGCATGCATCTATGCTCTGGAGGGCACTTAACACATGGGTTCTTCGATGAAAAAAAAAAAGTATCCATCACCTCGGACATGTTTGAATCGAAGCTCTACAAGTGTAACGACCAAGGATATGTTGACTTGGATGCAGTGCGCCAGATGGCCTTGTCCTTCAAACCCAAGGTCATAATCTGTGGATACACCAGCTACCCTAGAGACATAGACTACGAGCAGTTCAGAAAAATCTGTGATGAAGTGGATGCCTATTTATTTGCAGATATCTCCCACATCTCAAGTTTTGTCGCATGCAATATACTGAATAACCCCTTTTTGCATGCCGATGTCGTTACCACAACGACGCATAAAATATTAAGAGGGCCCAGAAGCGCATTAATCTTTTACAATAAAAAAAGAAATCCTGGGATCGAGCTGAAGATAAATAGTGCAGTTTTTCCAAGCTTCCAGGGAGGACCCCACAACAACAAAATTGCAGCGGTTGCCTGTCAGCTGAAAGAGGTTAAGTCAGACTATTTTAAGACATACACACAACAGGTTCTGCTAAACAGTAAAGCACTAGCTAAATCGTTAATTAGTAAAAATATTGACTTAGTGACCAACGGAACGGATAATCATCTCATTGTCGTAGATTTGAGGAAATTTGGCATTACAGGATCCAAACTACAGGAGACGTGTAACGCGATTAACGTGGCACTGAATAAGAACACCATCCCGTCGGACGCGGATTGTGTCTCCCCCAGCGGGGTGCGTATTGGTACTCCTGCCATGACTACCAGAGGCGCAAAGGAAAAGGACATGGAATTCATCGCCGATGCTTTGCACAGGGCCATCAAAATAACAGTGGATCTGCAGCAGCAGTATGGCAAAAAACTCGTCGACTTTAAGAAGGGTTTGCCTGGCAGTGCTGAGCTGCAGCAGTTGAAGCAAGAGGTTATCACCTGGGCCAGCGCCCTGCCCTTCCCCTGATTGGGCTAAGGGTGGCGATGCTGCGGTTGGGGCCCTTCCGACAGCCAGCGGACTCCACGGGTATGCCCCAGCGGACGTGGAGATGTGGCTCTTTCGCCGTCTGCTTCTCATTTATTTTATTCATTTATTTTATTTATTTATTTAATTTTTATTTTTTATTTTATTTTTTTCTTTTTTTTTTTCCTCGCTGCACTATCCCCATCACGGGCTACACCTCGAATGCGCAAAGGGACGCTCACTTGCAAACACATGAGTCAAAAGTAAATATCGCAAAGGGGAGAAGCTCTGTGGGGTGAGGGGAGTCTCTCCCGGGAAAGTGGCGAACCGGTTTGGTCCCTTCCCATCACAGCACACTTCCACATGGTTAAGCTTTCCCCTTAACCACTCCAGCGTTTCGAAATTTTCTTAACCGCTTCAGGTGAACGGAGCCGCTGCTGCCCGGTTACTTCCCGGGCCGACGCCTCCGCGCGGGAAAAAAGGAACATAGGCGGGATAACGAAGCGGAAGGGTGTCCCTGAAGGGGTGTCCCTGATGGGGTGTCCCTGATGGGGTGTACTTGATGGGATGTACCTAATGGGGAAGGTGCCAATTTTGCAATCTTCTCTGACGTCCGCTGCCCGTGTGGATCCACGTTTTAACCATAGCGGTGCACTAACGCTGGTGTATGTTCACGTATATGTCAACGTGTGTGCCGCGGTAGTGCACGGGACTACATACGCGGTGACCCCACCCCACGTTCAGGCCAAATCAGCCGCCCCATTTTTTTCCCACTCGGATTTGCGGTGGAAAAAATTAAAGTCGGAACTGGCAGCAGGATGTGGAGGGGGCAATTTTAAAAAAGAGGCATCACACAGAAGGGAATACGGGATGGTCATACGAAGGGGGTATCATAAATTGACGTCGCAGGAAGATTCCCCTCCCTTGATCAAATTGGAGGGAATTTTATTTTTTTTTTTTTCTTCAAACGGGAAGCATTCATCGAGGAAGAACAAGATCGGAATTGCCCAACCGAGTATACCTTTCAAGTACACTCCATTTATGAGAAGAAGAAGAAAAAAAAGAGGGCCATGCGTAGTGGTATTAGAAGGCATGATAAGCATATATGTGCATTGACTTGACTCCTTCGCGAGTCCATTCGCTGTGCATACTTACATAGGCATATACGTCCTGGAAGCCCTGGGGCGTATCTGCACAGACCATTCTGACCACTTTGACCACTTCGACAGTGTACATTCGTGGGAACATCACACAAAGCGCGTAGAAGAGCTCTTCCCTTTTTTTTTTTATTTTTGCGAATTGGGTTACGGGCTATATTCCCCCCTGTCGAATTTATCAAGTGGTGAGAAACTCTTCCTGGGGTGCGCGGCGAAACGAGAGGTGTTGGACGAAACTGGAGAAATAGGGAAAGAAGTGCAACTGAGCCAAGTGTGACTGATCGTAGAACGAAATTTAACGAGAAAGCTCATCACCGCATCGTTGCAGAATCTATCAACGGGCCGTTGAAGTAATCCTCCCCCTCGCCGCGTCGACTTGCCGCCCACGACACACAATGCACCGGTTCAAGTGGATGCGGAGCACGCCGCTCAGGCGGTACGCCACGTTGGGAAGCCAAATTGGGGGTCAAATGGGTCAAGAAGTCAGCGGAAAGGTCAGCGGAAAGGTCAGCGGAAAGGTCAGCGGAAAGGTCAGCGGAAGAGTTAGCGGAAAAGGTAGCCGCAAAACCGATTACCAAGTGACTGCCCCCCCCCTTTGTAGACACTTCTCCAGCAGCGAAAGCGCCAACCTGAAGAAGAACCCTACCACGGGGGTGAAAGGCGCAGGAGGTGCTGCCGCCGCGAATAAACGAGACGAAAAGGGGAGTAGCACCAAGATGGGCAAAATATCGCAAGTGATCGGAGCCGTGGTGGATGTGGAATTTGAGGATACCCCCCCCTCCATTCTAAACGCACTTGAAGCAGAACTAGACGATAAAAAACTCATCTTAGAAGTCGCACAACATTTGGGAAACAAAGTCGTGAGGACCATCGCCATGGATGCAACCGATGGGCTGGTCAGAGGACAGAAGGTTCTAGATAGTGGTAAGCCAATATCAGTACCGGTAGGGAAAGAAACTCTCGGAAGGATTATGAATGTCATTGGAGAACCTATTGATGAATGCGGAAATATAGAATGTAAAAAAATATTACCTATTCATAGAGAACCCCCATTATTCACAGACCAGAGTACCGAACCTGCATTGCTAATTACAGGTATTAAGGTAGTCGATCTGATTGCACCATACGCTAAGGGGGGTAAAATAGGTCTCTTTGGCGGAGCAGGGGTGGGAAAAACTGTTCTCATCATGGAACTAATTAATAACGTAGCAAAGAAGCATGGAGGGTATTCTGTCTTTGCTGGAGTCGGGGAGAGGACAAGAGAAGGGAACGATCTATATCATGAGATGATAACTACTGGAGTGATTAAGAAGAAAAAAATCGGAAATGGAAAATACGATTTTGATGGGTCAAAGGCAGCTCTGGTATATGGCCAAATGAATGAGCCTCCAGGAGCTCGTGCGAGAGTTGCCCTAACTGGTTTGACCGTGGCCGAGTATTTCCGAGATGAAGAAAACCAAGATGTGTTACTCTTTGTCGATAATATATACCGATTTACACAGGCAGGGTCTGAGGTATCTGCTTTATTAGGTCGTATCCCTTCAGCAGTTGGATATCAACCGACGTTAGCCACTGATTTGGGAGCTCTCCAGGAGAGAATCACCACGACGAAGAATGGCTCCATCACATCTGTTCAGGCCGTGTATGTACCTGCTGATGATCTGACCGACCCTGCACCTGCAACGACCTTTTCTCATCTTGATGCAACGACCGTTCTGTCCCGATCCATAGCTGAGTTAGGTATTTACCCTGCTGTCGACCCTTTGGATTCCACCTCCCGTATGTTAACGCCAGATATTGTGGGTGCAGAGCAGTACGAAGTAGCTAGAAATGTGCAGCAGATCTTACAGGATTATAAATCATTACAAGACATCATTGCCATTTTAGGCATAGACGAGTTGTCCGAACAGGATAAGCTAACCGTCGCCAGGGCAAGGAAGGTTCAGAGATTCCTATCGCAACCCTTTGCTGTGGCTGAAGTGTTTACTGGCAAGCCGGGGAGGTTTGTCGAATTGGAAGACACCATCAAGGGCTTCTCCGAGCTGCTCAAGGGCAACTGTGACGACCTGCCCGAGATGGCCTTCTATATGGTGGGCGGCCTGGAAGAAGTGAAGTCCAAGGCGGTTGAGATGGCCAAGCAGGTTTCGTGAAGGGGGGAGCGGCCGCTCGTAGCGGGCGGCGATCACCGGGACAGCCATAGCGAGTGCTAATATTGTGTCCGTCTCGGTGTGCTCCTGAGCGTTTGGAACATATCCGGGCCAGACTCCCTTACATGCATGCCTCCATTCCTGTGTGCGTATTTCCCTACCGTGTTTACCTACCACAAGTCGTGCACGGAACCCACTTCGCCGTGGTGAAACTTTGCCATGTTGGCACCTCGCCACGTTTTACCCCCGTTCGTCACCCATTTTCTCCATCAAAAAGGAAGCAAACCAAACTTACGCATGCTTTAATTAAGGTTTAACGCGGGTTACATTTGCGTGAGGGGCAAGGTGCCATGTCGTGGAGGGGACGTTACTAATCTCTCCCGTAAGCGTCCATCCCCCTGATGGCACTTCATCACGCGTTCGTCGGCACACGCACTATTTGGTGAACGCGCTTAGGTACAACTTCGAAGGGGAATATCCAATGGAAGGCGAGGCACCCAGGGGGAAAACCGCACAGCCCGTGCGAGGTTCTTCAGCCGGGCAAGTAATACCCGTTGAGCAATTCATGGTTTTCCTTTATGTATTCGATAAGGTGCGTCTCCACCTTCTCCTTGATCATGTCCGTCATAGGGCCATCTTCCAGGAACAGTCGCTCGCGCACGTACTGCCGGAAGGACTCCGCGTCGTTGACGCCCTGCCGAGGGGGTAGTGGTTCGGTGTAGCGGTTCTGTATGGCGGCTCCGTATAGCCGTTCCGTATATCCGTTCCGTATAGCCGTTCCGTATAGCCGTTCCGCATTGCGGTCGCATGTACAACCCGCCTGCTTATGTGGCGAAATGCCGCGCCCATACCTGTAGCTGTGTGTGGAGGGACTCCTTCAGCGAAGGCAGGTGCATTAACTTCGTCTTCAGCTTTTCTCTAAACATTTGGAACCTGTGCTCAGGGGGGGATGCAGATACCGCAGATGGGAGTAGTGCAATCTTGCCTGCACGTGGGGAGCATCCTCCCAGGTGCCGCGTCAGGGTGCAGCAAAATGACTCATCAACTGATGTGTAGGTAGCGCCCTACTTGTAGTGAAAAATGGATTTCTCCCTCTCCTCACTCAGCAAGCTCAAAATGTCGTAGTTCGGGGAGGTCTTTATGTTTTTAAGAATCGCATAGAAGTAGTTGATAGACATATTGCACAGTTTGTGCAGGTTGTGAAAGTTCAGTTTTTGGCGTCCTGTGAGGGGGAAGAGCCGATAAAGCAGTCCTGGAGGTGTGTCTTCACATTGATTGTCACCACTAGGAGCACACCAAGTGGCACCCCTAATCATGGCGCCACTACGCGAGGGTAGGAAGAGCCCTACCCAAGTAGGTGAACGAGTTTATCAGGTTTAACGAATTCGTCGTGACTCTGCAGTAGTAGCCCTCCGTGCTGATGTTGCTGGCGATCTCGAAGTGCTTCACTTTGAAGCGCTCGCTTAGCTGAATGTCCCTGCGCACGCATATCTTTAGGGTGTCTGTTAAGAAGGCTTCGTTGTATACATTCTTCGAGTTGGTCGCCTCAGTTACGTTGCTGTTCGTGGGGTTTACTCGACCGACACTGCCTAAGGGGGAAGCATTGCATAAGGCGGTAGCATTGCCTAACCCGCCACCATTGCCTAACCCGCCGACACTGCCCTTCCCCAGAGCGCACGGGTTGTGGAACTTGCAGAGGTCCCCTGTGGGCGCCTGGAAATGATAAAAGTAAAAATCGCAGGGGAGGCAGCTGAAGTGGATGATAGGCTTCTCAAACACTTTCAGTGTTCTGTACAGATCCAAAGGGTTGTCTGTGTCCCCCCGATGGTACTTGTCCTCATCTTGGCATCTTTCACCACGCTGGAGATACGCTCCATTTGTGGACGCCCCGGTGAGGGAGTTCTTCCCCCCTTGGTGCGCGCTCCTGACGCTCTTCTTCGATCCGGAAAAATCGCAGACCATATGGGCATTCTCAATGATAAGACTTAGAAACCTTTTGCTTACGAGATTGCCAATTTCGCTGCCATTGTACTGCTCGTGGTTTAAGATGTTCTCTTTTCCTATTCGATATTTACTCGAAAATGCACATAGCTCTCCGGCGCTGAAGATGAATTTGTCGTTTGTCTGTGGTGGGGGTGAAGCGGTGTAAAGGAATGGTTAGAGACAAATGGGTTCACTTCCTAGACATGGATAAACATCCGATGTACGGTGGGAGACCCACCTGAAAATTATGATTCACACAGATGCGATCGTTGTACACGATGGAGGCCTTGTTAAGCACATAGTGTAGGTGGTTGCTGATGTTGAAGACGTAGGAGCAGAGCAGAACCCTGCAGGGAATCAACACGGTGTTCTTGAAAAGAAACCTCTGAGCAGACAAAAGGGTAGGATCAACCTTGCCATGCTTACAAAAGCGAACCACGACATGTTTGAGGCGGTTCTGCTTGCTCTTCTTAATGGCAATGATCTCTCCCTGGATGATTCGGATTTTTAGAAAATGAAAAAGGACAAACACTTTGTTTAGGACATGCTTAACATTATCAGGCACGCAATTCTTGTGATAACTATTTTTTTGAAGTGGCTCATCCGATATTATGTAATTCTTCTTCAGATGTTCTTTGTGCTGATAATAGAGCCTATGTTTCGATATTTCCTCCCTTAAATCATTTTTTGGATTTTTTTCACTACACTTGGCACAGGTGTGTGGTGATATAATTAGCAGCTTATACGAGTTGACTCCGTTTCTCAAGAAAAAATTAACTACCGTGAGGATATCCATGTTGTCACTGTAGATGACGATGTAACTTACGCAGTTTTTTACTACCGTCATGTAGGTGCTGTTTTTGTCGAAGTATTTATCCAAGAAGGGGTCGCTGATGCTGAACAGCCCTTCCACGTTTTTCCTCTCCGCGGAGGGGCAAGCAGCAGCCCGTATCGTCTTTGTCTTTCGCGTTTCATCGGAATTGTCCATTTTGTCCGCCTTGCCCGCTTCGTCCATTTTTGACTCCGCTTTCTTACCTTCACTCAGCTGAGACAGCGTAGCTACCCGCCCTGAGACCCCTTCTCTTAACAATTCTCCCTTATTTACCGCCGCTTTGCTTAACGCGGCTACCCCGGTTAAACTCTCCCTGTGTAATGCGCCCTTAACCGGGTGTCCCCTTTTCGTGGTGTTACCACCCTGCTGATCGGTGGCATCATCATTCGTATCGACCATTTCGAGGGCGCCACCACCCTTCGCCTCCCCTTCCGATTGACTCGTCTCACTCGTTTGTATGCAGCTGGACGATAGCGTTGAGTAGTCCGAGTGGTACTCCTCCTCCTCTTCGTCGTCTGCTTTCCCCGATTGCCCCGTTGGGTTCTTCCCCCCGGTTAGTTTACCCCTCTGCTCATGCTTCGTTCTGTTATGCAGCATTTGGCCATGCTCCGTTCCGACATGCTCCGTCCCGCCATTTTTCCTTCCCCCATGCAGCATTCCTTTAGACACCACCCCTGTGATATTCCCCTCACTGGAGTCGGAGCTGCTAGAGGGGTCGTCCCCTCCCCCGGGATGTTGCATGTTCGTTACCGCGTCTTTTCCGCCACTCCGTTCGCCCAAGCCACTTCTTATCCCCCGCAAAGTTGGACTATCCACATGCTGCCTCTTCCCTCTGTTCAGGCGATATTTCCCCCTCCGAGGTGTGCCCCTCTCGACGGATCTCTCCTTTGCGGGCCATTCGCTGGACTCGAATTTCTCGTAATCCTTCGCCTTAGTCAAAAAGTCGAATCGCTCATTGGGGCAAACGGAGCTCTTATTTCTCTCGATAAAATTGAAGTTCTTTTTCTTCCCCACTTCATAGCTATTCAGTTGGAAGGAGTAAGTACTAATGTCTTCCTTATCAAAGCAAATAAAAAGATAATCATAAAAGATAAACTGACTGTTGTTTAGCTCGATCTTTTTATTCTCCCTATCGATGTTAAAAATATTATCGTGAATTATTCTGACCCTCTGTTTTATCATTAAGTCTGATAGCTTTCTATACATTTCTAGATTTTCCAAGCTGCAGTTTCTGATGCTGTTGCAGTTGTAATCGTCTTTTTCTTCCGCTGCTACAGAAGTGGTTCCCTCGAGAAGTCTATTTCGGTAAGGGCTGACTATAATTATGTTGTTAAAAAAATACTCATTGTTTGTGAGCAGTTTGTATAGCATACTGAGACACACGTCGTTGATTCCCCAGAAAACGATGTTGTGGTCAATGTTGGTAAATTTTTTGAGGCACATTTGCTTCGTCATCACGAGGTAGAACCTTTTTTTATGTTCGTTCTTCTGTCTGTAGCTACCCACATGGTTATGGCTCGCCTCTACCCCCATGGGGGGCTCCTTCTTAAACACGCTCACGCTGTTGTCCTTCGTGAACAAAAACTTGAAGTGCTTGTACACGTCGCTGTAGGTGTTGTCTCCCACGGCGATCTGGCACGAGCAGGCCTTCGTCATTCTAAGGGGAGAGCAGTTGGACGCGCGGGAGATGCGTGTGGAAAGGGGATCACCCACAGAGGTTCACCCAAATGTGGTCACTCAAAAGGGGGTCACACAAAAAGGGTTCACCAAAACGTGGTCACTCAAACGGGTCCACCCAAACATGGTCTAGTCATGCAGAGGTAGCCACCGCCACTCACCCCAAAATATTGTGGACAATACGCTTGTCGTAAAACTTGAAAATAATTATGGACAAAAAGAAGGAGAGCAGGAAGTGCTTCTCTTCCCGGTTCTCATTCCTCAGGATGACATCCTTAAAATCGAAGGCTTTCAGCTTATAGTAAAAGTCGATGTTGTTCAGGATGCGTCCCGCGGTCACGTTGATGGCTTTGCCTCCGCACCTCGTGACGAAGATGTAGTAGTTTTGGGAGCGGTAGAACTTGAGCTCTGCGGGGGGGAGCAGCAAAATGGGGAGAAGTTGGCTCTAGGTGCATGAATATTTTCCGCCGTTTGGATGGCGCTCCATTTGGATGCCTCTCCGTTTGGATGCCTCTCCGTTTGGATGCCGCTCCATTTGGATGCCTCTCCGTGTGGATGCCGATCCGTGTGGATGCCGATCCGTGTGGATTCCGCTCCATTTGGACGCCGATCCGTTTCAATTCCGCTCCATTTGCGTCTTCTCATTTTGGCGGACTCTGTCTAACCTGAGGGGGCCTCCTCCCCCTGGCCAACGCCCCGCCTGTGGAACTCCTTTAGAGACAAAATAACCGCATTAATCGGCTCCTTCTCCTTGTCCTCCACGGCTTCCAGCAGCTTCTGCACGTCCTCTATATCGGTCATCCTCATATAGTCCGTGCATGGAGGGAGGAAAAGGGTGTACTTATTCAGAACATACAACGACTCCAAAGTGTTTGTCTTTTTTTTCTTCTTCACGCGATTGAAGTAATTTAGGATGAGGGGGATTCTCCCTCGCTCGTTGTTGGTGGCGACGACATAGTCCACTTCGTCGTAGTACTTCTCGATCTTGAGAAGCACGTCTTTGCAGTGATGGTGGTACTGCGCGTGGGGAGTGAAGGTGAATAAACAGTTAAGGTGAGTGGGCAGCTAAGCGTGCACGTGCAACTGCACAGATGTGTGTGCTCGTTTGGCTGTCTTCCACGCGCCTACCACGTTCCTGCCGCTTTTATGCCTCTCTCTCCCGCCGCTTTTATGGCGCTTTCCCCACCTTGTCATTCAAAATGAACAAGTTTAACGAAAAGGCGTTTTTGTCCTTGTCACTCAAACTGCTCAGCCAGTCGATGTGCTTGTATTTGCAGATGAAGTAGTTCTTCTTAATGTCCACCAATTCGTCCAGGTAGAGCTGCCAACAGGAGAGAGAGGCGGAGGGTGATAGAGACGGTAAGATAGAGCTACAGGATGAACACACCTGGGTGACGAAATGCAGATGCTTCCGAGGGGGGATGCACATAATCACAAATCGAATACAAAACATGGTGAAGCACTCACCTTGAATGAGACGCAATCAAACGGGGTCGACTCCTCCACAGTGATTAACTCGTACAAGTCGAGGAAAAGAAACAGCAGGATGATCTCGTTCTGAGATGGGAAAACATATTACAGTTTGTTAAGAAGTCATTATAAATGTTGGGGGGAGGTGCCAAGTTGAGGGGATATCACAACGGAGATCCCATGCGTGCTGCTTTTTCTGTTAATCCATCGGGGTAGCTTCGTAATGGATGTCCCGCGATGAAGTCCCCTCGTGTATGCCCATCGCCCCACCTTTTTGAAGATCTCCGGGTAGATATTCTCCAGCAGAAGGAATATGTCGAAGTAGGACAGGTTCACCACCTCCTTGGAGCTCTTTCCCGACTTGCTCGTTCCGCTATTGTCGCAGTTCAGCTTGATGATGTTGATTTTTTTTGCATCTGTTGGGTTGTGATGAGGGGAGGAGGGGCTAAATCAATGGGTGCACCGGAAGAGGAGCAAATGAAGGGAGACGCCCAAGTGAGAGGGGCACACCAAACTGGTTGCACTTTGTTTTCTCCCCTATTGACTCTTTCCCTGTCTATACCGTGTTCTCCCCCCTCGTCAGTCTTTATGCCCCCCTTCTTCCTCCACACTTTGTCGTATATCTTTTTGTACGTCTTGTCCGTGTTAAAGTTAAAGTAGAGCATCTCGACCTTGTCGAAATGGCTTTGAAATTTGGTGCTGACTTTAGAGATCTGCGTTAAAGGGGAGGGTAGAAGCGAGGTGGAGAGGAAGAGTATCCCCCGGCAATTGCGCATGAATAGGATGTTGACAAAACGGTGGAGGCGACGAAGTTCTTCGCCTGATTAGCCCATCCATTCCTTTCCCCTTAACTTCGTCAGGTATAATGCCACGTTTTTTTGTCCATTTGTAACTCCTCGTTCGCATTACATCGGAGTGGCTTAGGTGGGCACACAAATTGATCAGCTTGTTCATCAGTGCAAAGTTGACGCTGCCTTTGTCTGGGTCCTGTGCGCAGTTTTCATAATCGTACTGCAGCTGCGTTGGGGGGAAAAGAAGAGAGGGAGAAGAGCAATCATTCAGGGAGCTTCTCCTTTTCATCACCCTTTGTCAGACAAATGGGGAATAGGAAGAGGAAATCTTTTAGGGATGGCGCGCTGGCCTCCTTCCATGTGAAGGGACACACCTTGTTGTAGATATTCCGCAGGATCACCCGCGTGTCTAAATCCTTCTTGGCAAAATATGCGGCGTACTCCTCCACGTCTTCCGTCAAATGATCCCGTAAGTAGCCATAAATAACGTCCGCATCGATTTCGTGCTTTTTGTCCAGGTCCGCCTCGCACTCGACGCTGATTTGGCTCAAAATGAATTGCTTAAATTGGATGAACAGATATTTTTTTTTTTTCTTGTTGAGATTTTTCGTCCCTCCGGAGAAAGGAACCTGCCAGGTGGGAAAAGGTGAAATGAGACGCACGCTGACTAGTAAGCAGAGCTATCCATATGGCTGATCTGTGTTTTCTCCGTGAAGGTATGTTTCTCCACAGGGTGACTTCCCGGTGCTGACTTCCCCCTTTTTCTGCGCAGGAGGAGAGGAAAACGTGTATCCATTCGAAAGACCTACCAGAGATGGGGCAATGTCCTGAAAGAATTCCCGTCGCAGCAGGTAGTTGTAGGCCTTCAAGTTGTACAGACGGACAAGGACATTCACGTCTATGTTTTTCTTTAGCCAAACGAATCCAATGATTTTCTTCTTATGGTTAAGTATTGATAGGAGGATGTCCTCCTCCGTTTTTGTCTCAATGAGGTTATAAATGAGATAGTGATTTTCATCCCCTCCACTTTGTTGTGTATATCTCCTGAGCAGTTCATGCAGATCGTAAACATCCGAGCTACTCGTCGGTCGCAAATAAATTTTATTAGCGTAAGAGTATCTACAAAAAAGAACAATCCGATCATATGGAAGATCCTCCATTTTCAAATGATGCTTCACATCGATGTGTATACACCTGCCCATCTTCTCACAGGAGAAATATTCCTCATTTTTCTCTTTTTTTTTTTTTTGCAAAAACAGTAAGATGAAAACAATGTCTTCAAATGTGTAGAAGACGTAGGAACATAAATCATCCAAGTAGTCCACATTTTTGCTGATCACTAAATTGATTATTAGAGAATTATTTGTGGACAAACTGGACAGCACAGAATGCTCCTTTATGTGTAATGATACAGCATGGTAGAGATCACCCAGGGGTACTATAACCCCGTTATGTGCTTTTTTTCCAAAAGAACAACCTGCACATAATTCATAGTCCAGGGAAACAATACCTTCTACTTCGTTCTGCTTGCTAAAGATAGACATACAAATGGATGAGTACTGAATGGTGTTTATAATTTCGGGATAGGTTATGTCACCATCTCCCTTGCAGGGGGAACTCCTAAGGACGGCATCTTCACCTAGATTTTTTTTCTCTTCTCGCTCCACCGCTTCCTCACTGGAGCAGTACAAAACGTGCGCCCCAATGTCCTTCCATTTTTCCTTCAGCCGGAACAGGTGCTTATGTTTGTAAAATTTGAAGGTGAATCCCATTTTGCTCGCATTCTCAGAGATACGTCAACATGTATGTAGACGTGTTTACCTATATGTGCATGTATTCTATTCTGCATATATTATACTGGGCATATATTGTATTAAGCATATATTCCATTGTGCATATATTCCATTGTGCATATATTCTATTGTGCATATATTGTATTAGGCATATATTCCATTGTGCAAATATTCCATTGGGCACACATGCCTGCACGCTGGAACGTTGTGCATGTGCAGTGAACCCCCTTGTGGCTGGACTGCGCCGCTCTCCCAGTGCATACTACCAATACTATACCAATACTACCACGGGATTAGTCTTCCCTCCAACTGGATGCATCCCAGGGGGGGAGAAATAATTTTGCGGGATGGTGCGTTGAAGGGGTCTTTCGCCAGCGTTTTTTTTTTTTTTTCGCTTTTACCCTCACGGAGACAGCAAAAAATGGGGGCATTTCCCGTAAGCCATTGACAGGGTAGCGGCGAGCAGCTGGAGTCATTACTTCATTTTCTGCGAATTCCTCCATGAGCCCACGCAGATGTCCACATTGGGCATTCCACAGGACTAGCCCTCCTCTTGCACGTTGCAGGTTATTTAGACACACACAGACAGGGGCGTCCGTTTATGGTTACTACACGGCGCAAAAATGTTCAGCAAAACAAAGAGGCAAAAAAAGGGCAAAAAAGAAGGTAAAAAAAAAACGTAACAACAAAATGGCAAAAAAAAACATAACGACAAAATGGCACACAAAACAAACACTGCAGGGGGGGGATTAAATAAAACAACGTGACCTTTCGGTAATGCCGCTTCCCTCCCCCCCTTGCATTTGACCCTTTCGCTGGGGAGTGCACATGGGCACAGAAACTCTCTTGGGCGGGAATACCCCCAAACGAAAAGAAGGCAGTACAGACACGGTCAAACGGGTAGATACACATAAATAAGTGTACACACAGCTGGAGACGCTCAAATGATGTGCTGGCATTGTGGAGCGGTCCACTGTGCAGCTTTGCATTGTGCGTCCAGCCAATCCCACACCGAGGGGGAAAATTCGAACCGAGTGAAGGGAAAATAACCAAGGGGTCAACCTACCTTCACCCTTTTCTGAGCGCCCTCCTCATTGTCAATCATTTCCTGCAGTTTTCTCTTGGTACTCTCCAGACCGTTCATATCATCGTTCTCCAACATTCCCAGTGGCTTGCTACCGCTGCGCGAGTTTCTGCAAAGAGTCCGAGGGGGGGAAGGATTTAACGAGGGTTGTGAGTTAAGGGGGGGAGGAAGAACCAATACGGGCTGTCGCACCAGGCGCTATTCACTCGGAAATTGTCCCACATGTACGGACGGAGGTATATATGCATAAGTGCACTCGTGTGAACTTACGAGAACAGGCTGAGGACGCTCCTCTTGATCCTTATCATGTCCCTGAAGGTGTGTTCGTTCCCGTGCAGCGCTTCGAATTCTCGCCAGTCCTGTAAAAGAGGCAAATGACGAATGACAAATGGCAGAGAGGTGAGGAGGGTGAACAAAAAACAGTCTACACTATACAACAGGTCAGCAAAGGCCATTACTGCCACAGGCTTAACCTGATAAAAGGACATATGCACAGACGGGTTGGTAAACTGCGCCGTGTAGATGTAAAGGGCTCGGACGCGATCGTATTCGTTCAGCTTGTACTCCATGTCGATGTACAAGAGGCATATTTCACGCGCCTGAAGGGGGGGAAGGAGAAGGGAAGTGAAAATGGAAGGGGCGGTTGGCATATGGAAAGGGCGAAGAGCATATGGGAAGGGCGGAGAGCATATGGGAAGGGCGGAGAGCATATAGAAGGGGCGGAGTCCATATGGACGGGGCAGCACCGCATTGGCGCCGGGCCACTCTTACGTCGTCGTCATTGAGAGTCTGGATGGCCTCTTCGAAGGCCTCCCTTGCCTTGTGCACTCCGTAAGACTTGGACACCTGCACATCGAGTAAGTGGAAAAAGCGTCGGGGATGAATGCCGCGACCAAACTTCGCGGCGGCAAAGGGGAGCAGTGGGAACGGTAAGTATGCTGCATACGTCAGAGAAGGGATGCCCCGATAAAGAAGCCATGCCTCCACACGGAAGGGATGGCCCCACATTGGAAAGGCACCCACGCCGCGCCTCTACGCTCATCTACACGCATCTTGGCCAGCCCCACCTTCGAAATGAAGACCTTGTAGAACTTGACTTTGTCCGGCTCGGACAGGAAGGGAACGGCCTCCTTGTAAATCGAAAGGGACCTCTTGAGAAACCCGTAGTTCTCCTCAAAAGAGGCATACATAAGGAACACAATTTTGGAGAACTCCTTGGGGATAAATGTCTTCTCGTCTGTTCCGTAAATGGCTTGTCTGTACAGCTCACGCACATAGGATATATTCTTATCTTTGTAACGCTCCACATACTTATTTATGTAGTGTACGTACACCGGGTAGAGGTAAGGATAATGGAAGATGGAGAGGGCCTTCTCATATGTTTTAAAACATTCAGAAAAGTACTTATTCTCATAGAGGTAGTTGGCAAAAGAGAGGACCATCCTAACAGTGATGTTCTTCTTGTGGTATAGCATATCGAAGAGATTTATCGACGTTTCGATCGTGCCATAATTTATTTCCAGATCAAGGATGAGGCAAGCTAACTTTACGTTATTTAAGAGGTTGAAGTTCTGATTGAGACTTCCCAAATGGTTGTCTCGCATGATCGGTCTGTTTCTTCCAATGAGGGAGTCCCTTTCTTCGTATATGTTTGCCCCTGTGTAGTTGTTCATACTGCTCCTCCTTGGTCCCTCCCCGCCGTTACTCAGATCGATAGCCAACCTGGCTATGCGCAGGGCCTGCTTAAAATTACCCTCAAGTAACTCTACCTCTATCCAGGAACAGTACACACTGGAAATCTCATTTAACGTTTTGAAATTATGCTCCCGGACAGCTCTATTAAATACGTTGACTGCTTTGTCGTACTCCTCACGGTTGTAGTGGAAATAAGCGTAACTGATGTACACGTCGCTGAGTCGACCATGGTAGTCGGCGTCTTCGAAATGTTTTAAGCACCTGTTGTAGAGGTCTACCTTCTCCTCTGCCGTTTCCACTGCGTCTATTTTTCCTATCCAAACGTAGACATTCTTCTGGTTATTTTTCAGCTTGATGTCCGCTATGAACACTTTGCGCTTGTCCAGAAGGTAGTTTATTTTGTCCATGTAGAGGTCCACCATGGTGTCTTCTCCGAGGGGGGGCCCACTTCGAGCTTCGTCTCCCTCCCCGCTATCACTTCGATCTTCGCTTCCTTCCTCTATACCACTTCCCGCTTCTTTCCCTTCCCCCGTCCGCATCTTCAACTCGATGAGTATCTTCATCGTCTCGATGTAGCCCTCGAAGAGCACCGCAAAATCGTTGACCGTGTAGCACTCCAAGATGCCCTCCTCATAGGCATCCATGGCCTTATTCCAACGACCCTCATACACGAAGCTATTGGCCAACAGCGTATAAATCGACGTGACATTTTCATACCGCTTAAAAATGTGGAAGTTTTTCCTCAGTGTTACCAACACGTCGTTCTCCAATATCTTACGTGAACTGATGAGCTGAAACATCTCTTTGTATAAATCGTAGATGGATTTATCTCCCAATTGGAGATTCTCCTCCTCATCACAACTGATCATATAAAAGAATGTATTCAGAGCATGCTTGCACATTTTGTACTTGACATAATGATTAAAAAGGTAGACAATATTCTCCGGATAAATCGTAACAAACCGTTTAATATACTCATAGTTAATTAGCTTGTTTTTTATTTTGTTACTGTATTTTAGCTGATACTCCCAGAGGTCTTCATGCTGATTCAGGCTGATATTTTGTAAGGCAAGATTAAAGATGAGCCTTATCTTTTGCACCTTCCTTTGCAGGAACAGAAATTGTATGTACAGAATGTAGATGGCTTTGAAGTGGTACATATAGAGAAGGCATTGGTCAAACACTCGATTTACGTCTTCATATTCCTCCTTCTCGTCATAGTAAATTCGGCTCAGCAGTTCTATGCGATCTTTTAGGTAGTGATACCAAAGTTTGAAGCTGAATGGGAAGTACTTCAAGATCGTTTCGTAGATCTTAAAGAGGTAGTACTTGCTGGCCCGCTGGCTGGTCGACCCGGCATCGTCATCACGGTCAGAAGCACGATCGCTATCTACATCCCCATTCGAATCACCATCGTGACCCCCTCTGTCCCTCCTCTTTCCCCTCGAGACGTTTTCCAAGCAATACTCCACTATGTCCTTCTCCGTGTCCAGCACATTCTTATCGTCGTTCTTCATGTGCACGTCGTAGAAGTTTACCACATAGAGCGTCTTCTCACTTTTAATATTTTTCTGCTTAAACGTATTGATGTAAAGGAATAGGTACTGAGTCGACACATTTTTCTGGTTGCTCTTTATGTCTACTTCTATGTTTTTCACGTGGGCTTCGTTCTCTGCACACTGGGCGGTGGTATCCTCATTCATGTGACCTCCCCCCCAGTGACGTTCTGCATCCTCGTACTCCGCGTTGTACTCGTCCAGCAACTCTTCACAGTCGTAGAGTTCTCCGTACAATTCCATTTCTGCGCATAGGAGGTTTCTGCTCTGTTTTGTTTTTCTTTTTTTATTTTCCCACTTCACCCCTCCTGTTATGCCACTTCACAGTTCGGTGTAGCAACCCAGTGATGCGTCAGTCGATTACTCCTCTTCGTAGCTCTTCCGAGCATTTTGGTCCGTGGCGTCCGTGAGGAGCAGCTACAGGGCTTATGTGCTTCTGAGAAGGTTACTATACTTACGGCTCCCTTTCACCGGTAAAACCTTTTCGAGGCTAGATTCCTTCCTTAAAATGGCCTTCCTTGAATAGACTGCGGAACAGAACAACGGGCGTGATGGCCTCGCACGATCGTTTGGTCGCCACCTCTGGTCATGCCTTCAGTAGCGAGGCTCTCCCGTGAGGCTATCTCGGGACTGTATTGACGTTTGACCCTACTAACGGAATCGCCGCTATGGTCGCTGTCACTGCTACGGTCACTATCGTCGCTATCACCGCTGTCACCACACAGTGTCCCCCCTGTACGCTCTTCTTCTGAACTGATTCGCCCCCAAACGCTCCTCCCTTTTCATTGTGGCGGAATTGTTCCAACGGAGACTTCGCTGCGCTTCGGGTTGAGCGAAGAGATGAGCTTGGTAGCCGCGTTTCTCTTCATCGCAACGGAGGGTACCTTGGCTTGGCGTAGCTTCAGTTAATCTCGGCGTATATCACCCTATATCGTTTTTTTTT